CCCTAAGAGAAGCAGTCGATTCCTAAAGAAAAACGACTCGTCGAGTCGTTTCCTTAAGAGAAAAAACGACTCGTCGAGTCGATTCCTTAAGAGAAGCGACTCGTCGAATCGTTTCCATGAAAGAAAAATATCTCGTGAAGACGATTCCTTAAGAAAATTGACTCGTCGAGTCGATTCCCTAAGAGAAACGACTCGTCGAGTCGTTCCTTAAAAAGAAAAAACGATTCGTCGAGTCGATTCCCTAAGAGAAACGACTCGTCGAGTCGTTTCCATGAAAGAAAAAATGACTTGTCGAGACGATTCCTTAAGAAAATTTATTCGTCGAGTCGATTCCCTGAGAGAAACGACTCGTCGAGTCGCTTCCTTAAAAGAAAAAACGATTCGTCGAGTCGATTCCCTAAGAGAAACGACTCGTCGTGTCGTTTCCATGAAAGAAAAAATGACTTGTCGAGACGATTCCTTAAGAAAATTTATTCGTCGAGTCGATTCCCTAAGAGAAACGACTCGTCGAGTCGCTTCCTTAAAAGAAAAAACGATTCGTCGAGTCGATTCCCTAAGAGAAACGACTCGTCGAGTCGTTTCCATGAAAGAAAAAATGACTTGTCGAGGCGATTCTTTCAGAAAAACGACTCGTCGAGTCGTTTCCCTATGAGAAACGACTCGTCCAGTCGTTTCTTTAAGAGAAAAACGACTCGTCGAGTCGCTTCCCTAAGAGAAACGACTCGTCGAGTCGTTTGTTCAACAGAAAATCGACTCGTCGAGTCGTTTCCCTAAGAGAAACGACTCGTCGAGTCGTTCCCTTAAGAGAAAAAACGACTCGTCGAGTCGTTTCCATGAAAGAAAACATTACTCGTCGAGACGATTCCTTAAGAAGAACGACTCGTCGCATAATTAGCCATGAGTTTTGGAGCTATGTAACGTCACATGGTCGAGTTATAAAGTCTTAGAGGGCAGTGCGTGGAGTCAAGTACATAGAGTCATATAGTCTAGTGCGTGAGTCATATGCGTTGCTGGTGTAACCTTTCTGTGCCTCGTGCGACAGACAAAGCCCCGGAAAGGTAAAATGATGCGCCCTGGGAATCCTGTATTGATCCTAATCAATAGAAGTAGACTAAAATACTTGCCACGACTCTATGACTCTACGACTCTATTAGACTCTCTATAGACTCTATTAACTCTATATGAGCAATTGTTAAAACTTAGTATTATGTAGCTTAGTCTAGGGAGGACAACAACATGTAGAAGTTGACTGTGCCCCTGTAAAGCGACGGGGAACCCTGAAAAGCGACGCCCCCATAATATAGCCCGACACCTTAAGACTCAAGCACCTCAGCCAGGAGCCGAAACGAGGCATTTCCAGTACTAAAGTTGTACTACAAGCGAGCGCAATCCATCCAGGAGCCGAAACGAGGCACTTTTAGTACTAAAGTTGTACTACAAGCGAGCACAATCCAGCCAGGAGCCGAAACGAGGCATTTCCAGTACTCAAGTTGTACTACAAGCGAGCACAATCCAGCCAGGAGCCGAAACGAGGCATTTCCAGTACTAAAGTTGTACTACAAGCGAGCACAATCCAGCCAGGAGCCGAAACGAGGCACTTCCAGTACTAAAGTTGTACTACAAGCGAGCACAATCCAGCCAGGAGCGAAACGAGGCATTTCCAGTACTAAAGTTGTACTACAAGCGAGCACAATCCAGCCAGGAGCCGAAACGAGGCATTTCCAGTACTAAAGTTGTACTACAAGCGAGCACAATCCAGCCAGGAGCCGAAACGAGGCATTTCCAGTACTAAAGTTGTACTACAAGCGAGCACAATCCAGCCAGGAGCCGAAACGAAGCATTTCCAGTACTAAAGTTGTACTACAAGCGAGCACAATCCAGCCAGGAGCCGAAACGAGGCACTTCCCGTACTAAAGTTGTATTACAAGCGAGCACAATCCAGCCAGGAGCCGAAACGAGGCGTTTCCAGTTCTAAAGTTGTACTACAAGCGAGCACAATCCAACCAGGAGCCGAAACGATGCATTTCCAGTACTAAAGTTGTACTACAAGCGAGCGCAATCCAGCCAGGAGCCGAAACGAGGCACTTCCAGTACTAAAGTTGTACTACAAGCGAGCACAATCCAGCCAGGAGCTGAAACGAGGCACTTCCAGCACTAAAGTTGTACTACAAGCGAGCACAATCCAGCCAGGAGCCGAAACGAGGCATTTCCAGCACTAAAGTTGAACTACAAGCGAGCACAATCCAGCCAGGAGCTGAAACGAGGCATTTCCAGTACTAAAGTTGTACTACAAGCGAGCACAATCCAGCCAGGAGCCGAAACGAGGCATTTCCAGTACTAAAGTTGTACTAACAAGCGAGCACAATCCAGCCAGGAGCCGAAACGAGGCACTTTCCAGTACTAAAGTTGTACTACAAGCGAGCACAATCCAGCCAGGAGCCGAAACGAGGCATTTCCAGTACTAAAGTTGTACTACAAGCGAGCACAATCCAGCCAGGAGCCGAAACGAGGCATTTCCAGTACTAAAGTTGTACTACAAGCGAGCACAATCCAGCCAGGAGCCGAAACGAGGCATTTCCAGTACTAAAGTTGTACTACAAGCGAGCACAATCCAGCCAGGAGCCGAAACGAGGCATTTCCAGTACTAAAGTTGTACTACAAGCGAGCACAATCCAGCCAGGAGCCGAAACGAGGCATTTCCAGTACTAAAGTTGTACTACAAGCGAGCACAATCCAGCCAGGAGCCGAAACGAGGCATTTCCAGTACTAAAGTTGTACTACAAGCGAGCACAATCCAGCCAGGAGCCGAAACGAGGCATTTCCAGTACTAAAGTTGTACTACAAGCGAGCACAATCCAGCCAGGAGCCGAAACGAGGCATTTCCAGTACTAAAGTTGTACTACAAGCGAGCACAATCCAGCCAGGAGCCGAAACGAGGCATTTCCAGTACTAAAGTTGTAGCTCAAACTCTTGTAAAGCGACGGGGTTTTGTCAAGCTGTCATCCTAGGTCTCGTAAAGCGACGGGGAATTTCGCTTATTGGGGCGTGGGACGAGAAGAATATGTTTTGGCTTGTCGGGGGCCACAGGCCCAAACATATTCCTCGTCCCACGCCCCAATAAGCGAAACAATTCTATCAATACATACGAGCATGTTTAGAGCGCAGCGGGCGGGATACAATCGTTCAAAGATGCTCGTATGCATTGTCAGAATTGTTTCGCTTATTGGGGCGTCGGGCGATAAGGACATGCTTTGCTCATTGGGGGGGGGCTCAAAACATGCTCGTATGTATTGATAGAATTGTTTCGCTTATTGGGTTTTGGCTTGTTGGGGCAGGCCCAAACATATTCTTCTCGTCCCACGCCCCAATAAGCGAAACAATTCTATCAATACATACGAGCATGTTTAGAGCGCCGCTGGGGCAAACAATCGTTCAATGATGCTCTTATGCATTGTCAGAATTGTTTCGCTTATTGGGGCGTCGGGCGATAAGGACATGCTTCGTTCATTGGGGGGGCACTCAAAACATGCTCGTATGCATTGATAGAATTGTTTCGCTTATTGGGGCGTGGGACGAGAAGAATATGTTTTGGCTTGTCGGAGGCCACAGGCCCAAACATATTCCTCGTCCCACGCCCCAATAAGCGAAACAATTCTATCAATACATACGAGCATGTTTAGAGCGCAGCGGGGGGGATACAATCGTTCAAAGATGCTCTTATGCATTGTCAGAATTGTTTCGCTTATTGGGGCGTCGGGCGATAAGGACATGCTTTGCTCATTGGGGGGGGCTCAAAACATGCTCGTATGTATTGATAGAATTGTTTCGCTTATTGGGTTTTGGCTTGTTGGGGCAGGCCCAAACATATTCTTCTCGTCCCACGCCCCAATAAGCGAAACAATTCTATCAATACATACGAGCATGTTTAGAGCGCCGCTGGGGGAAACAATCGTTCAATGATACTCTTATGCATTGTCAGAATTGTTTCGCTTATTGGGGCGGCGGGCGATAAGGACATGCTTTGCTCATTGTGATTGAAATTTCACTCCTTTTAGGGACCGTGTTCCCGGTGGGTTCTATGCCCTGAAACCTCGTTTTGAGCTTTACGTTTTCACTTTCGTTTGCATGCTTATTTTGCCACACGGTTGCTGTCGCACACATGGTCATTATGTCTTTGTTGCAGGCGTTTCAATATCCAGGAAAATTTTCATGGTAGCGGAGCCTCGGCACGACCAGGACTCTCGAGGTTTCTTGGATCCGAGGCTCGGGGACAGGACCCAATCCCCAACACAGAGAGGTAGTGACAAGAACATACACGTGGTTTCTTCGGAGGGTGCGTTCAGGGGCCCAGGCAGGCGAACTCAGGTTCCGCTTAGGCTTCTGCATTCTCCTTCGGACTGTCTTTGGTGAATTGCACTGTAGCATCGCAATCCCGACGCCGATCGGAAGAGCCATAGCGCCTCCTGCTTCGACCACGGCTGCCTCAGAGGGCTCTGTCGAGGCCCTTCGCCAGAGGGTGCGTGAGCTGTATCTAGAGCAGCTTCTGCAAAGAGAGCAGCCTACAGGCCGTAGCAACGAGAGTTGGCAGAACATCCTTGCAAGTGCGCAGATTGCTTTGAACAATCGTCTTAACAATCTCTTCTTTGCATCGGACGTGGTCCAGTTTGCAGGAAAGTGTTTGCGTGACAGCCACTTGAAAGAGGTTTTTCTTTCCTTCTGCGTTGAAGACGTGCATCAACACTCATTGGCCGAGGAAGTGCTGCATCAGTTTGTGCACAGCGATCAAGAATCATCACATTTCGACAAGGATCTTGAGCTTCTGGAGCGGTCTCAGGAAGGTTTTCCCAACCTCGAGCCGGCACCGTCGGAGCCTTTTGATCTTGACAGAGATAATTTGCCTGAGCGTGGATTCAAGCGTAAACTTCAGAGCAGTGAGAAAGCAATTGACCTTGATTGATCAGTTCCATTGCAGCCTTCGGGCAGTGTTTTCTGTTTGAACAATGGCAGATGATTCCTCAGATCCTGAAGAGCTTGCTGCAGGGCCTGGCCCACCACCTCAGGGCAGTGGCAATCCGTTTTCGCCTTTGGCGGGAGCGTCCAGTTCCAATGAAGGCAGGCTTATGCAAGTGCTAGAAATGATGGCAGGGGTCCTCCGGGATCAGCAGAGTTCGAGTGCAGCGCGTGCAGCTGCAAGCAAAGATCCAATCCGTGCTAAGGACATCGCTAAGGTTGTGAAAGGTCCCGAGCCCTTTACTCCTACCACGCGTGATGCTGAGCTTGCCCAGTGGGGCAACTGGTCGTGGGAGCTTGAACAGTGGCTCTCGTGCATCGATGAAGGCTTCACTGCTAACATCAAGGAGCTTCGAGGCCGTACCAAGGATGCTGTTGTGATGTCCAGGTTGAGTCCCGAGGATGCAGGCCGTAGCCGACTTCTGTACACCATTCTTGCAAGCTTACTGAATGATAAGAATAAGCGCATGCTGCGGTCCATCCCGGACCAGAACGGGTTCGAAGGATATCGCCGGCTGATTCAGGAGTTGACTCCCTCGAGCCGAGGTCGCATCTTGGCACTCGTGCAAGCTTTGCATAGCTGGCCGCCTTTCGATAACAAGCTCAGCCTCATGCCTCAACTGGCCAAGTTCGAGGCAGCAGTGCAGGAGTATGAACAGCTGAGTGGCAGTGAGTTCAGCAACGATCAGCAGCTAGCAGCTGTTTTGCGATGCCTCACAGGTCAGCTCAAGACTCAGGCTACCGTCCTCATCGGTGACACGTCTCAGTACTCAGACCTGAGGTCGCTGATTGAAAGGCGGGATGCAAGCCAGACCCGATGGGGTGCCTCGATTGCCTCCTCGTATGGCCTTTCCGCCTCCAGCTCAGACCACCCAGTTCCGATGGAGGTGGACCGCGTGGGCAAAGGCAAAGGCAAAGGCAGCAAGGGCAAAGGCAAGAAAGGTGGCAAGGGCAAAGGCAAGGGCAAAGATGACAACAGCAAAGGTTCAGGCAAAGGCAAAGGCAAGCATCAAGATGGCAAAGGCAAAGGTGCAGGAAGCAAGGGCACTTGGCAGCCTGGTGTTTGCGGTTGGTGTCACAAGCCTGGACACTACAAGCGCGATTGTTATCAGTTCAAAGCATGGCAGGAAGGCAAGCAGAAGGGCGCGCGTCAGGTGCAGAGTTCGGCAGCATCGGAGGCCAGCACATCCGTGCCCTCGTCAGCTTCTGCTATGAATGCCCAGGCCAGTGCAAAGGCAAAGCAGGTCAACAGGTTGCAGTTTGCCCGCGATGTGCCAGTGATCAGCCTTGATCAGCAGGATGATGATGTGGTTGATTTGACAATTTTTAGCCTCGATGAGAATGATGGCGGTGAGTATGATGAAGACTCAAGCCCCTGGCGTGCATGCATGGTTCGTCAATCTGACTCTGCGTTCTGTGGTACCAGTGCGCCGTGCACTGGAAATGCTCAGGTGAGTTGCCCGATGATTTTCGACATTGCCTGCGATGATGAAGATGATGCTTGGACACTGGATGACAGTCCAGAGGTGCACCGGCTTTCCCAATGCAGTCCGGCACAGGAGGTCAGCATCAACAGGAATCCGAGTGCACCAGCGTCCCCATGCAGTCCAGCGCAGGAGATCAGCATCAGCAGGAATCCGAGTGCACCAGCGTCCATGGCCTTTTCTGCTGTTCGAGCAGTGACAAGTGCGTCTCAGGGCCATTATCTTGAGATGGTCGTTGACAGTGGGGCCGATGTGAGCTGCATGCCGCAAAGCCTTATGCACTTAGGTGTCAGCTGCAATGATGGAGCTAGCCCAGTGTTTGTCGATGCTCAGGGCGCGCCACTTGCAATCAATGACCGCAGGACCCTTCTCCTTCAGCTCCCGAACCTCGAAGGCAAGCCGCAGAGCTTCCAGAATTCATGTGTCGTTGGCTCGGTGTCTTCGCCACTTTTCGCTGTAGGAAAGCTTTACAAGCTTGGATGGTCCTGTTTTTGGTGCGGCGATCAATTTGTTTTAGGCAAGCAAGGCGAGCCATCAAGCTACGTGCCCCTGCATTTCAAGCACAACAGCCTAGTTGCGTATGGCTGGATCAGGAGAGTGCAGGTGCCAGGTCAGGTTCGTGTTGTGGCTCAGCTTGGCAAGGTGCTCAATCGTTTGCTGGGTGATGAGACTTATTTTCATGAATTGATCACCGGAATTTGGGGCTTGCAGACGCAAAGCGCGCATTACATAGATGTGCATGAGGCGCTGCCAAACGAGGGCATGACTTACCGCACCACGCTTGTCAAGCGCAGCGATGGCAACTGGCATCTTCTTGAGATGAGTGAGCGCATTGATTGCCTAGACACAGCAAGCGCTCCTTTGCCTGGTGTGAGCAAGCCGGTTGATTGCATATGCCTCGCACATCGTGTTGTTTGTGGGCCCAGCGATCTGGGGTTCACTGTTGACGGGCCTTTGGCTGCCAAGCCGAGCGGCTCAGAGCGTGCAGAGCCCGATGATGTGCCCGAGGTTGCCGAAGGTGACATGCAGCTGGAGGTTGAAGGCCAGGCGGCAGGTGCAGAGGTCACAGGTGCCCAAAAGCATTCAGATGTCGCTCCTGATGCTGAGTGTGAAGCCGCGCTCGAAGCTAGCCAGATGGATGTTGACGGCAAGCTGCCTGATGAGATTGAGGTGCAAGGTGTGACAATCCGTCCGACGGATACCCTCAAAACCATGCGTGAGGCCTGCACTCTGGTGGGCATTGGCAAGTCCGGTGGGAAACAGGCTGTGTATGCCCGTTTGCACAATTTTTGCAAGCGCTACGAGTTGCAGCAGAAATTTCGCGAGCCCTCCGGGCCAGAGCCAAACGTGCTTCCTCCTGTCAGGGAACCAACCGAGGACGAGCGTCAGAGGCATGAAGTCACCCATCTGCCTTACGCCAGCTGGTGCTCGTACTGCCAAATGCACAAGGCAAGGGATGACATGCACAAGGATGTCGACGTGACCCAACGGGGCATAAGCATTTTGTCTTTTGATTTTGCCTTTACCGGCCGCGAAGAAGGAGAGAAAACCAAGCAGGTCTCTCTTGTGCTGCATTATCAATTTACCGGGTGGCGAGAGGCCATTCCAGTTCCTCGCCGTGGCGGGGCATCCACTCGTGCCTACCTTGCCTCTGAGGTCACTCGTTTGTGCAACATGTTGGGATACGGCACCATCAAACTGCGGTGCGACCCTGAAGGAGTGTGTCTTGCCCTTCGCGACGCCATTGTGCAAAGTCGAGCCAAGCTCGGTCATAAGACATTGTTTGATCAAGTTGCAGAAGGCAGCCATGCCTCAAACGGAGCAGCCGAATCGACTGTTCACCAGACCCGGCTCCAAGCTGGGGTTCTCCTTTCCCATTACGAGGAGAAGACTGGTTGCACCGTTGGCACTGAGCACCCTCTTTACAGCTAGGCAACTCGCCACTCCGGGTGGCTGCTCAATCGCTTCAGTCCCCGAAGCTGTGGAACGACGCCTTACGAAGGTGTGCATCAAACGGGATATCGTGGCAAGCTGTGCTGCTTTGGAAGTGCCGTGCTCAGTCTCTGCAAGACTTCTGCAAAGGGCCGCGCAAAGTGGCTCAAATCGCTTTACCTGGGAAAGGCGAGCGTGTCTGATCAGCACATAACCGTGACATCTGGTGGCAAGTTGCTCCTTACGCGTTCTGTGCGGCAGCTCAGCCCGATGTTTGACGCAAGCCTGCATGACATACTGCGTGATCATTCCTGGGAGCACCCAGGGTTGTTGGCAGGCACCGTAGGCCGAGCTGTGCGTCAGCGGGTCAAGAACACTGTTGGGGATCAGGGTGTTTTGCCGGGCATGTCAGACAAGCTTGGGAATGTCACTCCACTTGTGTCGCGTCCTGCCGATGAAGCTGCCAGTGATCCTGAAACTGAGGGGTCAAAGCATGAAGAAGATGCTGCATCTTCAGGCAGTGGGACTCCGAGAAGTCCAAGCTTCAATGGAGGCGAGCTGGATGATCTGATGGATGCTGCACATGGCCCTCCTGATGGCCCTGCTGCTCCAGCCCTTCTGCCGGACACTGCAACGGGCTATGATCTCTTGCTTGAACAGATTGAGTCGAATCTGCTAGCGCAATCCGACCCCGGTGGTCGAGGCATCAAGCATCCTCAGGATGGCGGGGCATCTTCAGAGGCCGCTGAAAGGCCTGCCAAGGCAGCTCGGGAGGAAGCCCACAAGGCTCCCCGTATCAATGCAGTGACTGCCGGAGATCACAACGATGCCGACATCAGGCCTGTCTTGCATGATGACGAGATTGATGCTTTAGAGGATTATGATTTTTCTTTCGAGGAGAGTGATGATGCGCAAGCATTTGATGACAGTCAGCTGCTGAACACTCCAAGCTCTATCGGCCTAAGACTGAGGATGGCCGGGAACCGCAGCTTTTGCCGGATGAGTTGGATGACATCGACTCGTTGGCTGACTCCTTTGAACTCAGCCGTCTCGTGCGCATGGGCGTCCTTGAGCCCATCGAGAGCAGCGATCCATTTGTTGCAAAGTCCCGGCTGCTGTCCACTAAGTTTGTGCGTGGCTGGCGACTGAAGCCAGACCCAACTGCTTCTGATGGCAGTGAGTGCTTCTTGCGAAGGAGCAGGCTAGTGGGAAGAGAATTCGCATGGCTCGATCCGGAGCGTGAACAGTTGTTCTCCCCAGCCTCGAACAACCTCCTTTTGCGTCTGTTGCCATCCCTCGCCATGCACTTCAGGAACCGTCAGTGGGTCAGCATGTCGCTTGACATCTCAGATGCATTCCTCACTGTGCGTCAAGTCATTGACACTTGCATCCGCATGATTGTGCACGGGGAAGAGCGCTACTACAGACTGATCATGATGCTTCCCGGTCAAAGGGATGGAACCTTGAATTGGCATGATGCTTTTACGGGTTTCCTTAAGGATAACTGTGCCATCGAAACTTTTCCTCAGTGCCCTGCACTCTGTCGGAGCAGCGACCACCTCGTAGGTCTGCTGATTCATGTGGATGATGTTTTCGGTGCCGGGGCAGCACAGCAAGCTGAAGCAAATTTCAATTTCGGTTCAGAGCAAGTACAAGGCAACGCTTGCATGGCTCATCAAGCCAGGTGACTGCATCAGTTTTCTGAAGCGCAGCTATGAGCTGATTGATGAAGAAACAATGATCATCAGACCGCATCCAAAGCACATCGAACGACTCGTCAAGCTTCTGAATCTTGAGAATCGCAAATGCAAAGCCACGCCGATGCCGGCGACTGTGCAGATTGATGCCACACCGCTGTCCGCGGATGATGCCACCACTTACCGGAGTGCCGTTGGCATACTGCTTTATTTGGCACCGGATGCCATTGAAGCGCAAAACTGCATCAGACTTCTGTCTCAACAGATGGCGTCTCCGACTGCTGGAGGACTGCGATTGCTTAAGCATTTGGTTGCATACTTGAAGGGTGTGACGGGATATGCGTTGGCCTTTAAGGTTCCGGAGAAAGGCAAAGGGATCGTTTCGCAAATTTCCGAGCAAAACAAGTTTTGCCTTGAGCTGTTTACAGATGCAGATTGGAGCGGCGACCCCGAGTCACGCCGCAGCGTCTCATCTTCCATCATAGCTCTTGATGGACACACCCTCGCTTCCGCGTCAAGGACTCAGAAAACTGTCAGTTTGTCCTCGTGTGAAAGTGAGTTTTGCTCTTATGTCAGCGGGATGTGTGACATGATCTACGTCAGCAATTCCTTGGAATTTCTTCTTGGGGAAGAGATAGCGCGATGCACTTTCCTTGATTCCTCATCAGCCAAGAGCTTGGTGACCCGACAGGGGGTAGGCCGTACCCGCCACCTCAGTGGCAAGCTACCGTGGGTTCAGAACCTCAGCAAAGACTGCTACATGAGTGTCTCAGGTGTGAACACGTTGCGCAATCCAGCTGATCTGGGAACCAAGGGACTGGCGAAAGAAAGGATTCTTTGTCTTCTTCACATGCTGAGTGTGGTTGATTGCCACAACGGCGACCTGGTCGTCGGTGCAGACGAGTATCGTGCCATGGAAGACAAGCTTGCTTTGAAGGCCCGAGTGCGCCGATTGCAACGCAGGTGTTCCGATTCAGTGCAAGCGCATGTGATGACGAGTGCATTGCGTATCGCCATGATCTTGAAAAAGATTGGCCCTGGAAACGCCTTGAGCCTTGGCGCGAATCTGAGCCCAATCACCATTGTTACGGACGGCTGGAGTGTGCTTCCGGCTGTCGCAGTGTTTTGCATCCTTCTTTGCAGTGTGCTGCTTTTGCAGGGGTGCGATTCCAGTGACATGATCAATGTGTATGCTGAGCTTTGGTTCTACAAGCTGGTGGAGCTGGCGGTGAGCAATCCGGGTTTAGGATTAGTTGCCGGGATGGTAGTTGTGGTTTTGCCTTGGTTGGTAATCCTAGTGCAGTGTTGCCAGCGCAACGACGCGCCGCATGCCTTCGATACCTTGTCCGAACAGACTGCAAGCAGTGGGCCCGAGCATGTGCAAGCCAGCGGCTCACGAGAGCCCGCCGATGGACCAGGGAGTACTCAGCAAGTCAATGCCGGCCTTCATGATGGTGCCGGCGACCGTGCAACATCCAGTTGCAGCGCAGGCGTGGAGCCGATCGCAAGTCCCGAGGAACTCGCAAGAAAGATGATGGCCGTCGGACGACGGTGAGAACGACAGGTGATGTTGGACATACTCCTGAAACCCTTGTGTATTGCACCTTGAGGCGTGGAAAGTCTTATCACTTCAAGCGATCGTGCACGTGCCTGAATAATGCCAGTGAGATTGTTCGCATCGCACTAGAGGAAGCCAGAGCCAGGGGATTCACTCCATGTGGACATTGCTTTAGCGGCAAGCGCAAGCAAAAGTGAACAAACCCTCATGTCCTTGATAATGCTCATGATGCGGACGCATTGGTCGTCATGTACATAGGCTGCTGCTTGTACAGATGGCGATAACTCAGCAATTTGCTGACAATCTTGATTGACATACGTGACTTCCGATTCCTTAGCCGTGGAGCGGCTTTGACTCCGAACAACGATGGATTCGAAATGATCCTTCAGATGGTAACTAGGCCATCGCAATCTCGAACAGGGCGGTGCAAATGTGTACCGCACGTGAAACCTCTTGAATGAAGCTTGAACGCTCTTGAAAGGGGTCCGCTTGCCTCAGTCAAGCCGTAGTTTCCTTGTAGCGTAGGTTTGACTTCAGCGCCCACACGTGGCGTTGAAAACGAGCCTGGACTGCCATACGGCAGCACGCTCCCCAGACTGAAAGACTGAAGACCGTCGTGAGTCCTGTATTGGCATGTGATCGTGTTGTGCATGTGGCAACTTGTGTGAGGCGGTTTAGGGTTTAGGGTTTAGGGTTTAGGAAGTGTCTGGAGGGTGTGTCTGGCGAGGTCGCGCGCTCGGGTGTGAAGCACCCCGGGCCGCGCGCTCGCGTTGCTTGTAAACCCACCCCGGCCACCCAAACTATACTCTATTAGGGTTTACGGTTTTTTTAATTGATATTTTTGCACCCATGAACCTTTCAGTTGTTGAAGTTGTGGTTTAGGCAATGGCTGGGAGTAGCCTCGGCCCTTTTCGGGCCTTCGGCATGGCAGGGCCGGCTCGGCCCTTCAAGCTTTTCGTTTGACAGCTCTGGAAGCCGAAAATCCAAGAAATCCAAGAAATCCCTAGGGCCTTGGAAATTGCCCTTGGAAGAGGAGCGGGTATTACAAAATCGACCATTTTCGTGCTTTTGCAAGGCTTTCACGGATTTCCGGATTCCAAGGCCCGAAATGGGGGCAACCCCACAAAAGCACCAAAATCATCGATTTTGCAGTACGTGCTCCTTTTCCGGAAGCCATGTCCAAGGCCCCTCGGATTTTCACGGATTTGCAGCTTCCAAGGCCCGAAATGGGGGGAACACTACAAAAGCACCAAAATCGTCGATTTTGCAGTACGTGCTCCTTTTCCGGAAGCCATTTCCAAGGCCCTTCGGCCCTTCAAGCTTTTCGTTTGACAGCTCTGGAAGCCGGAAATCCAAGAAATCCCTAGGGCTTTGGAAATTGCCAATGGAAGAAGAATGGGTATTACAAAATCGACCATTTTCGTGCTTTTGTGAGGCTTTCACGGATTTTCGGCTTCCAAGGCCCGAAATGGAGGCAACACCACAAAAGCACAAAAATCGTCGATTTTGCAGTACGTGCTCCTTTTCCGGAAGCCATTTCCAAGGCCCCTCGGATTTTCACGGATTTCCGGTTTCCAGGGCACGAAATGGAGAGAACACCACAAAAGCACCAAAATCGTCGATCTTGCAGTACCTGCTCCTTTTCCGGAAGCCATTTCCAAGGCCCCTCGGATTTTCACGGATTTCCGGCTTCCAAGGCCGGAAATGGGGGGAACCCCACAAAAGCGCAAAAATCGTGGATTTTGCAGTACGTGTTCTTTTCCGGAAGCCATTTCCATGTTCCCTCTGATTTTCACGGATTTCCGGCTTCCAACGCACGAAATGGCCCCGAGACGCCCCGGGACAGTCGTCCCGGGGGGGCTTCGGGACAAGCCGGGACAAGTGTCCCGGGGGGGCCCCGGGACGTCCCGGGGGGGCCCCGGGACCAAAACGACCACCAGAGCAGATGGTTCACGGTTTGGGGTAGATCTTTAGCTACGCTAAAGGAGGTCTGGATACGGCCATCCCTTTATCGAATACGGACGTTGTCGTAAAAAGGGCAATTTCGTTGGCCTGTCCAGGACAGACGGTGAGGCTTTACCCTCACCTTTCCGTCTCTATCTTCGTAGGGCCGCTCGGGCTGTTAGGCCCTCGACCAGAGCGCTCGGGGCCTGTCGTTCGACGGTTTCGGCCCCTCGCTTAGTTTAGGGTTTAGGGTGTGTCGATGCTCCGCGCACACCACCACGCGAGACGTGTGTTGTGGTGTGCGCCTAGGTTCAACGCTCTCGCCCTACCCGCCCACCCAGTCTATGACCTTTGTCGGGTTCAGGGTTTTTTTTTAAGGTTTGTGGCTTGGTCTGGCGGTGGCCCAAAAGCAGGCCAAGCAGGGCAGAGGCAGTGGGAGGGGCAGGGCAAAACAGGGCAGAGCAGGCAGAGCAGGGCAGGGAGAGCAGGAGGGCAGGGCAGGCAGGGCAGGGAGAGCAGGGCAGAAGGAGGGGGAGGGGCAGGGCAAAACAAGGCAGAGCAGGTAGGGCAGGCAGGGCAGGCAGAGAGAGCAGGAGGGCAGGGCCAGAATCCAGGGCGCCAGCAGGCCCAGGGCCGGGCCGGGCCAGGGCCAGCGCCAGGGCCAGGGCCAGGGCAGGCAGAAGGCCAGGGCCAGGGTCAGGGTAGGCCAGGCCAGGCCAGGCCAGGGCAGGGCAGGGCAGGGCAGGGGGCAGGGCAAAGCAGCAAACAGGGAACCGGGGGCCCAAGGTTGGAGGTTTAGGGTCATCTCATTATATTGGCTAGCATGCCTGTCGCATGCGCCAGCACCTGAGCTGGTGCTGGGGCTCCTTCGCTGCGCCTGTCGCGCCAGCTACGGAGCCAGCCTCACTGACGCTTCGGCACGCTCGCTGCTGCTATTCGCAGCGCCCGCAGCTCGCTTCAGTTTAGGGTTTAAGGTTTAGGGTTCGCCACCGCAGCTGGCGCCCTGGTCAACCCTCATGGGAAAACAAGGGGCTCCGGCCCATGGCTTTAAAGCGGTCGATGCCACGCGAACCTCGCTTGCGTTCGTTCGGGGCGGACGAACGACTGGCCGCCGGACGGACGGACGGACCATCTGGACGCTAGGGACGGACGGAAGCACGAGCGCCCCGCGCAAATTTCGCCCGCGTTCGTTCGGGCGTGACGAACGGACGGACTGACGAACAATCAGGATGGAAGCGATACCACGAAAGCGAAACGACGACATAGAAAAACAAAAACGAAAATTCCCCAAACCGATTTGCTTCGGCCGCTCTATCAAACCCAAACCCGAGGTCCAGCGGAGCGACGATGGAAGGACGGATACGTGCGTTCGTCCCTTTGTCCATTCGCCAACCCTAGACCCAGCCCGCACCAGCAGCTTCAGCCTTTTCTGCCGAGGCTGGGGGGCGGAAGCCACCGGCCGAGGCGGAAGTACTTCAATGTGTAACAACTGTCATATGTGCGCATCCATACCAAAATCGATGCTTGTGTATTTGTGTTTTGTTTGCATTTATATCTAGGCAGATGTGTACATACATACTTCGTCTTCCTATAGGATCGGATACAGATTTGAGCGACTCGAAGGGTCACCCCATTTTAAACAAATCCTTCTGAGGGCTTTTCACTTCAATTTACTTTGCCCCTCCAGGTAACTGGTAACTTTTTTCACCTACAAATCGATCCAAAATTGTCATTTGCGTTTCTTTGGACCTGCCGTCCGCTTTTCAATTTTCCAAACCCCGCCGAGGCCGGGGCTGGAAGCCGGAAATGTCTTCAGGTGAAATAGCTTTCACACATGCACCCTGTTTGCTTTTACAGTTGGTTAAATGTTGCTTGCAATTTGTATCTAAAGACTTATATTTGTGTTTGCACTTGTATAGTACCTGGACTTATACCCATACATATCCCCGTGTTGTTTACCCAGAGCTTGTTGACAAATCTTTACGTGTATCAGTAACTTCACATCTCTGTGTCTGAATACCGAGTTGTCTAGAAACCACAGGTCTCAACATATACATGTATATATATATACACATCTGTATCTGTTTCCATCCACTTCTTTATCCGCATCTGTCTTCGTTTCTACACTTTTTCTTATGCATGTACCTGAACTGGCGGACGGTTTCTGTATGTATAGCCATATCTTATGTATTCGTATTGATTTTTTTTCCAGACCTATGTCCATATACATGTCTACTTTTGTGTGTGTATGTACACTTTAATACAAATGCAGATATATATATACATATGTATGTATATATTGACTATATTACATCTATATCTATGCCTACATCTGTATGAATAAATATGTAAATATGTATGTACATCTTTGCCTGTATCTTCATATCTACATACCTGTGTATCTATGTATGCAAATATCTATATTTCGATATGTCTATACACAAATATATCCATATACGTGTATACCTTTATATCATATTCATATATCTATATGTGCGGATATCAGTATAAATATATATATATATCTGTATGTCTTATATCATACAGCTATGTATCTGTATATTTATATTTCCATATATGTGTATTCCTGTGGTTTTATATGTTCCGATATACATATCTCTATATACCGATATGATGTATATAGATGTACAGATATGACGCATACTTATACATCTACATTTCTATAAAGGTAAAACCTAATTGTTTGTACATTTGTATACATGAACTTATATATATATATATATATATATGTATATATATATATATATACACCTATAAGCCGATATGTTTATGTATCGATTTACCCATATATCTGTATATTCATATCTATATATACATACGTATATAAATATATATATATATATACACACTATGTCTGTGTTTCTATATCTTCATGTTTATTTGTATGTGTAGGTGCATTTATATCCTTATTCATATGAGTATGTTCATTTATGTCTATGTTTGTATTTGTTCGTATATCTCTATAAGCGGGGTTTACGTAAATTGTCATACATAGCCCTGAGCGGGATTTAGATAAGTTACCTTTAACCCCT